TTTTAGCCCAAAAAAACGACCATGTATAGTCAGGCGTTTTTTGCCGAAAAAAACGCCCATGTATAGTAAGGCGTTTTTAGAAACATGGTGTTTTTTTGTTTTTTTGTTAAAAATGCGTGACGATATATGGTCGTTTTTCCGGGGCAAAAAAATGCCTTCCACATGTTTGTGGCTAAAAAGCCTCTTCTACATGGAAGACTGTCACTGGGAACACATCACTGAGCGGGGTTTGAACCCATGCTAACTATACATGGTCGTTTTTTTTGGCAAAATAACGCCTTACTATACATGGTCTTTTTTTTTGGCTGAAAATGCCTTACTACACATGGCCGTTTTTTTTTGGCTAAAAACGCCTTACTATACGTGGTCGTTTTTTTTCGGCTAAAACGCCTTACTATACATGGTCGTTTTTTCGGCTTTTTTCGGCTAAAAACGCCTTACTATATATGGTTATTTTTTTCGGCTGAACATGCCTTACTATACGGCTAAAAACGCCTTACTATACATAGTCGTTTTTTTCGGGTTAAAACGCCTTACTATACATGGTTGTTTTTTTCGGCTAAAAATGTCTTGCTGTACATGGTCCTTTTTTTCGACTAAAAACGCCTTACTATACATAGTCGTTTTTTTCGGGTTAAAACCCCTTACTATACATGGTCATTTTTTTGGGCTAAAAATGTCTTGCTGTACATGGTCGTTTTTTTCGGGCGAAAAACGCCTTACTATAGATGGTCGTTTTTTTTTCATCTAAAAACGCCTTTCTATACATTGTCTTTTCTTTCGGCTAAAAATGCCTTGCTAGACATGGTCGTTTTTTTCGGCTAAGAACGCCTTACTATAGATGGTCGTTTTTTTCGGCTAAGAACGCCTTACTATAGATGGTCGTTTTTTTTCGGCTAAAAACGCCTTACTACACATGGTCATTTTTTTCGGCTAAAAACGCCTTACTATACATGGTCATTTTTTTTCAGCGAAAAACGCTTGGCTATACATGGTCGTTTTTTTGGCTAAAACCGTCTTACTATACATGGTTGTTTTTTTTGGCTCAAAGCGCCTTACTAAAGATGGTCGTTTTTTTTTTCAGCTAAAAACGTCTTACTATAGATGGTCATTTTTTTCGGCTATAAACGCCTTACTATACGTGGTCGTTTTTTTCGGGTTAAAACGCCTTCCTATACATGGTCGTTTTTTTTCGGCTAAAAACCCCTAACTATACATGGTCGTTTTGTTCGGGTTAAAACACCCGACTATACATGGTCGTTTTTTCGGCTAAAAACGCCTACTATACATGGTCGTTTTTTTCGGCTAAAAACGCTTTACATGGTCCATTTATTTGGTAAAAAACACCTGACTGTGAATGGTTTTTTTTTTTCGGCTAAAAACGCCTTACTATACATGGTTGATTTTATGGCTAAAAAACGCCTTATGCCTTCCAGTGTTTATACATGGTCTTTTTTTTCGGCTAAAATTGCTTTGCGATACATGGTCGGGTTTTTTCAG